ACTGTATAAAGACAAGCCTTATATCATTGTCATTCAACAACTTTTATATATTACTTGTTTGTAAATATAGTTAAAATTTAAATATAAATGAAATAAAATAAATAAACATTTTAAAATAGTTCTCTGAAATTATTCTGAATTAAGAGTGCACATTTAAGTAATAAAAGTCTGAAATTATTATGAATTAAGAGTGCACATTTAAGTAATAAAAGTCTTTCAGTCTTTTTAATGGACTTGCCCTATTTGTGATTAGGTGAGTCCATTAGTAGTGTTTTAGGGATGTTATTACCAAGAAACTAGATTTACAATAATGAAGCTAAAGATATACAGAGAGAAATTACTGGATAATTTAATCTGACCATTTTACATTTCTTTTACTTAAACTGTTAACACTATAATTATACAGTGGCCTTAAACTACCAGACTCCGGGTTTGATGATGGATCTCTACAATGGTTGGTTCAATAAGAATGGTGGGTGTGGCTATGTACTTAAACCCGCCATCATGAGGGAGGAGATTGCATATTTTAGTGCTAATACAAAAGAAGTCATTCCAGGGGTATCACCACAGATTCTTCATATAAAGGTATAAGATCATAACTATAATACACTACAGCCTCATTATAACGCTCATGGTGGGGTCCAATGTCTCAACACCGCGTTCTAAAGAGGCTTTCATTAGAACGCTTATTGCGAAATTACCGCATTACCCCACCCAACGCATATATATATAACGCTGACGATTTTTACTTACTGTTCAATGAATATTGACATTTTCTTTTTCTTAAACAATTCAATGATGTAAACATATATTATATTCACAAATAATACTACTTATATTCAAAAGAAACAAAAAAACTTTCGAAAGAAAAACATAAATCATAAATATAGTGTAAACAGTTAGCCAATAATGTAATGGCGTTTGATTAACTAGGGGACACAACTAAAGATGGACTGTAAATTACACTGTAATTTACAGTCCATCTTTAGTTGTGTCCCCTAGTTAATCAAACGCCAATTACTTCCTGTCTTGGCCGCTTTATTTACAGTGCTGGAATTTAAATTGATTTTGGGCTTGTGTTGGTTATTTAATTCAGCGAGGTTTACATGTCTAAGATATGTGTGTGAATTTTAGTTTATTTATACTCACCACCGGTTGCCCATGTCACAGTTATGATATGAATTTGAGATTTTGGAAACAATTTGATGCCTGACTGATGGACAGGTAAAACAACATAAGACCGGATAAACGCTAACTTTGGCATGTTTTTCACACCTTTGGCGCTCATAAATGTCCTAATAACAATTGTTTATTGTACTTGACTGTGAAATTGAACAAGCTTTATAGCGCGCTATAAATCTAGATCTACTTAATTTTATTTTTTTTTTTGAAGTTTTTTTGTTTTTTTTGAAGTTTTTTTTTTGGGGGGGGAGCCAAGGTCTATGAGCGCTATACTGAGATTAGCGTTATAACGAAGAGCGATATATCGAGGCTATAGTGTAGTATTTTTATGCTTTCAGAACTTTTTCAGTTAGTCGCTAATTTGTTTTTCCATCCCTGCTTCCATCATAATTTTTCTCTGCTCACTTAGCTCAAAAGGGAAAGAATCAGATTTGTAATTCAGGGATCGCTTGTTTGATCCTCTGGTAATGCAAAACTTCTCCATGATTGGTCAGAAACCAGCACAGAATGTATATTGACCAATGAAAATCCTACGATTCAAGACAGAAAAAAGTTTTATAACCTAGGAGCCTGATCTCAGAACATTAAGTCTTATGGTCATTTGTCTCTCACCCCTTATTGGGAAATCATGTAGGTCACTTGGAGAGCAATTGGTAATTACTTGTTAGTTATTTAGAAAAGCTGGTGAGGTGGATCAACTGCTGAGATATGACTAAAAATATTGGCGTAAAAAAGACCCAGACAAACAAACAAGCATACTGTTGCTTTAAGTAGCATCTTGACTGCCAAATCATTATTATTCATGGGCGACTCATTTTCGTTGTTTTCATGGATAGGTCAGTCGTCAAATTTAAGATCCAACAAAATTTCATTTTGTCTGCTGTAAGATTATTTTGTATGACATTATTTACATTTTATCTTTTAGAAAATAACAACAATCCACTAATTTAAGAACCCATGAAAATATTCTTTGTGACAAAGCCACAAAATTGCATGCCCTCGAAATTGAGTGAATTTACAGTATATGGATACTTGGTATATTAGTACATGTATGTTTCATGGACCACAATCCATATTAAGCAGTTTAATCAAGAATAATTGTTTGTGTTTTATTTATAGACATTCTTATATTATTTTCTTAATTCCTTTCTATTTTTTCTTTCCCCGTTCTTTTAATTTCAATATTAATGACTTTCCCTAAATTGAAAATATTTTTTTAGATTAATTCAATGACATATGTAAAATAACTCATTTTCAGTTTTTTTATAAAATTAGGAAATCAAATATAATTGTTAATTTCCATTGAAATGGTAGACAGTCTGATATTAATAATTTCCTTTATAAAGCACAGAATATTTCCATTTTTGGTCTCTTAAGAAATACAGCACATGACTCTGAAATCTTTGATGTTAACAAAATTGACATTTAAATTTAGCTAATAAAGGAAAGTTGTAATTTTCTCCTTCAATTTCTGTTCTCTGTAAAATGTCTTAAATTATACATTGTTTACAACGTGGGTAATTAAAGTTTTGCGTTTAGAAGTAATCTGGAAAAAAGAAGAGCATCTTTTAAGACTTCCTTAGAATTAAATGCAATTAAATTTTCAAATAAAATCAAACTAATGTGATGGAATGGCATGTGAGGGACGTAAAAGTTACAATTTTAAAGTTGTAGTTTTTTTTTACGTTATCTCAGAGGCTGTAAATAATCTTACGTAGAGAGGTTTCGAGAAAACAAGATTGTGTATTTAACAGAAGATAACACTGTTAAAGGTGTGTGTCTACAGATTAGTCAACAAGTTAAATCCCTTACCTCACTATATATCTTTATTGGACTTGTCCATCTTTCTTTGTTTGTTTGTTTGTTTTGGGTTTTACGTCACATCGACACAGTATAGGTCATATCGCGACGTTCCAGCTTTACTGGTGGAGGAAGACCTCAAATGCCCTTCCGTGTATTATTTTAGGCAGGAACGGGCACCTGAGTAGAACCACCGACGTTCCGTAAGCTAGCTGGATAGCTTCCTCACATGAAAGAATCCAAAGTCCCTGTCGGAATTCGAACCCACAGTGGTTAGGGGCAAGTGGTTTGAACTCAACGACCTTAACCACTCGGCCACGGACGCCCCGTCCATCTTTCAATCAGGACAAACCATACATTGATTATAGGGAAATTGCCAATGTTTGGACAGAAAACAGTGCAGAAATTTATAAAAAATCTTTTTCCAGACCTTATTGTTTAATATACATGTACAATACTTTTCTCTCCAAGAACTGTATACAAATAATTTATACCCTCATTAAGCGCTATACAAATCTTTTCTTTCTGTCATAACTTTAAACAATTTTTTTTCCCTCTCCCATAGCTTTATTTATACACATTTTCTCCTTTCAATGCTTCTTATCGTTTTTCGTTTCATGGCATTAAAAAAAAAGTTTTCCCTCTCTTAGCTTTGTATGAATATTGTAACAATCTTGTAGCTTTAGACAATTTCTGTTTTCTCTCATAGCTTTATGCTATGCTTGTTTCCTTTCTCCTAACAACACAGATCTTTTTCCCTCTCATAGATTTATTGAAATCCTGTTTTCATCTCTTTACTTTTCCCAATATTTTCCTCTCTCATAGATTTATACAAATCTTGTTTCCCCTCCATACTTTACCAAAATCTTGGTTCTCTCTCATAGATTTATACAAATCCTGCCTCTCTCTTAAAGCATTTTACAAAATCCTATTTGCAAATCTTGTTTTCCTCTTGAAATATTTGGGATTTAATTTGCTGGCTTTTAAAGTGCTTTTCCAAGTATGTGTGAATTTTGACAGTTTCTTAAGATGCAATCAATTTAACAGAACACTGGAAGTATTAACGAAAAGGCATACATGGAGATTTTAAGGTTTTAATCAAAATGAAGCGGAAACGAAGTAAAATAAATTAAATGAAATGTGTGATGAATGGGCCGACATTTAGCCGGAACACTACGAGAGAGAAATAATCTTAGCGGAATTTTGGTTCCATAAAGTCTTTATCTTACATTGATTTCAATTTTGTTCTCCAATGTTTTGCTACAGTGGTTTCTATCATTATATAAAACGTAGAAGTTTATTTCAGTAATAAAAGGTTAAGATTTGTAAGACAGCTTGCATATAAGATTGCATTTGACTTGTATAGAAATATAGACAAAAATATTTTCCTATTTAATACAAGGTTCATATCGTGATGAATGTCTTGATCTTGAAAGACCGAAACCGGTAGATCCTTGAATAAGTCAGTTAACAAACCATCGTGATGTTTGACATGTGTTCTCTCCTTCTTTTGATTTAATTACTTAATACAATGTTCATTAATAGAAAAGGTACTCTCACAATACATGTATTTTTACACCCTTAAATTGCTGACTTTCTTAAAGATATACAATGCTCATCCTTGAGTAAAATATTTTAATGGCGGAAATTTATGGAAATCTATAAAATTCTTACTATATGGATATGTCTAATTTGAATACAGGTATGAATTTGCTTTGTATGGGAAGTTAATTCCCTATAATCGGTAAAGCAGAGTTGGTACTGTCTTAAAAAACTGCCAGTTTTTCTTTTTTTATGACAGTATATATTTATATCGGACCTCCTATTGAGCTTGGTCAAACTGCTTAGATGTGCTAACTAGCCTGCCTCTCTACTGGTGGCAAAGGTTACCAGTAATCAATGTCAGTAATATTTTTCATAGGGTGAACACCTGCCAAGCCAAAAGTGAAAATATAACTACTGGTGCTCAACGTAGTGAAATATAATTTTGATGAAACAAATTTTGGAATTACATGTAATTCATGCTATTTCTTTGTGGTTTTAGGCCATTTTGACTTACTTTTGTTGTGTAACATCATCACTTTTATGATTTCATCAACTCATGAAGTGTTCTTGTTGAGAAATATATATGCTATAATATTTACAGAATTTTGTTACATTTTGTGCATACAAAATTTATAAATAAATAAATATAAAGCATGTAATAAAAGAAAAGAAAAAAAAGGTAGAATCAAACAGCATCTTAGAATTTCACAGTATTTAAAGACTGTTTCAGTGCTAAACATATATTTTGATATATGATTTAATGATTTACCACTAACAGAACAGTTGCAATATTTTGTGCTCTTTATAAGGAACACATGTTATTACTTTAACATGAAAAGCATGCAATTACAGACTTTTATCTAGTTTGTATGTGCAATAAATAACTACTGAAAGGATATTTAAGGTTATAGATGTGGTTTCATATATGGAATATTTCTTATACAGTTAATGATTATCAATACTTTGTGTATATATAATTTTGTAAGAGTTGTTTCACTTTATTTTGCATTAATTTTGTGCATAATATGCATATTTAAATCTGTATTTTTATGCTCCCCGAAAAAATTTCGGGGGAGCATATAGTCGTCGGGTTGTCAGTCCGTCCGTCCGTACGTACGTCCCGAATTCGTGTCCGGCTCATAACTTTGTTATTTGAAGTCAGATTTTAAAACTATTTCACAGAAATGATCACCATATTGAGACGACGTGTCGCGCGCAACATTTGGGTCGCTACCTTGAAGGTCAAGGTCACAGCATGACCTTGCAGCAAAATCGTGTCCGGCCCATAACTTCCTTATTTGAAGTCATATTTTTAAACTATTTCACAGAAATGATCACCATATTAAAATGGCGTGTAGCGCGCAACATTTGGCTCGCTACCTCGAAGGTCAAGGTCACAGCATGACCTTGCAGCAAAATTGTGTCTGGCACATAACTTCATTATTTGAAGTCGGATTTTGCAACTATTTCACAGAAATGATCACCACAAAGAGACATTGTGTCGCGCGCAACATTTGGGTCCCTACCTTGAAGGTCAAGGTCACGGCATGACCTTGCAGCAAAATCGCGTCCGGCCCATAACTTTGTTACTGGGAGTCGGATTTAATAACTATTTCACAGAGATGATCACCATATTGAATTGACGTGTCGCATGCAACATTTGGGTCGCTACCTTGAAGGTCAAGGTCACAGCATGACCTTGCAGCAAAATCATGTCCAGCTTATAACTTCGTTATTTGAAGTCGGATTTTACAACTATTTCACAAAAATGATCACCATATTGAGACAATGTGTCATGCACAATATTTGGGTTGTTTTTACACTTTGAACTTTGTCTGTGACATAACTCTGACACAACAAGAGGTATACCTTCCTGTGTCCAAAACCTATTTGGGGAGCATCACCCGGTTCAACCGGCTCTTGTTTCAGATATGTTTCATATATATGCCCAGTAGAAAGACAGCTACAAATGCATTTTTATATGCCTGAAAATATAACGGCGTTTATTGTTTTGCACATGGTCATCCTTTAGCAGTTTTTGTGTCCGGTCTGTATCTTTTGAACCGATTAGCTGTGCACAGGTTGACCTTTCTCCGGTCAAGGTCACACTTATTCATTTTGTTTAAAATTAATGTTTTATTTACATCTATGCATTACTGACATGTAAAAAAGCAAAACTCATATTTTTTGCATACAAATGCTTGATATTTTTGTACAACCTTTGATCATTAGTTTCCAATCATGCAGGTGTGTGAACCTGACAAAATCTAAGTGTCAATATAAGGGTTCATCAATAATTACTACCTGTAGACAGATTGCCAAATGATACAATGAAAACTTGTTTAATTAACAGCTTTTTATCCTGTTAAATCCAATTTTAAAAAAATCAATTTGCTTTAACATGTAAAATAGCATGCATACAAGCACTTTACTGCATGTATAAATACATTGTGATAATGGTGACTGGTAATTTACCAGCATTTAGTTTATGCTGTACATGTATATATTGGTTGACGTATCTGTGAAACCCTTGATAAATGGTGTCTTTAATGATTAAAAGTGAAACTGAGGAATGACAAAGTACATGTATATTCTGGATGGAAGGGCACCCTGAGGTCTTCCTCCACTAGTAAAGCTGGACTGTTGCCATATGACCTTTATAGAGTTGGTGCAACTAATTCTCTTCTTATAAAACAATGAGTAAAGGTCAAGGTCACTGAGGTTGCTAATAGATTTTTTCTACTATTTAAAGAAGTCAGAGCACCCATTGTTATTACATAATATCTAAGTTTCTCTTGTTTGTGTTCACAGATTATCAGTGGTCAATATTTCCCGAAACCGAAAGGTTCAGGGGCTAGAGGTGATGTAACAGACCCTTACGTAACCATAGAGATATTTGGTATTCCAGCAGACTGTGCCGAGGAGAGAACTAAAACTGTACCTCATAATGGTGAGTTTTTTTATGGCGTTTGTAAACCAGTCTCTCAGTACATAAATGAAATCACTGTACCCTGTCTTGTAAGCCTTCTCAATGTGTACCCTGTCTTGCGAGCCTATACAATTCAATTTGAACCCTGTCTTGTGACAACAAGCGATCTTTTTACCTTTCTTTTGAACCTATACATTTTACCTTGAACTTTTTGTGTGAAAGTTGGTTTGTAAACTTTTGAGTCTGAAATTAGAATTTTACCAAGTGGGATTATTTGAATTAAGTTTTGGTAGAGAATCAAGATATGGGTTTAAAATAACAAAAAAGATCAAATAAAGATATGGCCTTGTGGCCAAGTGGTTAACATGTCGGACTAGTAATCTGAGGATTGAAAGCCACATGGGTTCAAACCCTGTAAGGGGCAACCGTTGTTTCTGTGAGCAAGAAACTTTACACTCATTGCTTCATTTACACTCATTGCTTGGTATTGGTTGGTTCAAGGAACTGATTCAAGAGTATTTGAGCCGTGTCATGACAAAACCAACATAATGGGTTTGCGACCAGCATGGATCCAGACCAGCCTACACATCCACACAGTCTGATCAGGATCCATGCTGTTCGCTATCAGTTTCTCTACTTGTAATAGGGTTTGTAAGCGAACAGCATGGACCCTGATCAGACTGTGCGGATGCACAGGCTGGTCTGGATCCATGCTGGTCGCAAACCCATTATGTTGGTTTTGTCATGACACGGCTCATTTCAATAAGCTTATAGCTTCCTACACAATTGAACTAAGATAAATTAGTATAAAATCAAATAAAAGACATGAAACTTGAACACCTTGAACACATTGTTCTTACAGAAATGTTTTTCATTTTATGTCTAATTATGTCACAAAAACTGTTTCATATTAACGTTTTTCCCTTTCTGTGCAAAGTATTTTTTTGATTATTTGTTTTGTCTCTGCTGTAACAATAGTGTGGATATTGTGCAGAACGTATGTAGAAACATTATTTTATATAACCTGAAGTCTTAATCTACTGTCTGTTTGTATAAGTGTTTGGTCATTATGCTTATATAAACAAGTTAATTAGAGAAAATGAAGTGAAACTAGTTTCTCCTTCAAACACAGAGCAAGATGAGATGGAACTTTATCAATTAGTCTTCTGAGAAAGTAATTATTTCCACTTCATCAAAGTTATTGGATAGATTTGTTAGCTTCCTTTCCAAGATCTCTGCTTTAATCTGTGAATTTAAGAATGTTTATAAAAACATGGTCATATTGTACATGTTTCAATTGCCCTTGCTGGCTAAGGGGTTGCCTTTACACTGGATTGAAGCCACCATTTAACCCAGTGTGATTACGAGGTGACTGAATGGGTTCTAATTACTGCATCTCTTAGCTCCATCAGGTGAGATGGTTTTGATCACAAAATTATCTTTCCTGTTTCAGTGACCTAAATTGTGTTGGTGGGCTTTAAAAAAAACCCCAAACATTAAAACAAGGTTCAATCTGATTTTCATTAAAACCGAGAGTTAGCCTAGAGGTTACCCTTTCTACCTCACAAACCTGGGATCTGGTGTCACCGCCATGTTATCTCATATAAAAACAGTTCTAATTAGTTCCAGGAAGCAGACTCAAGATTTGTTCAAATAAGTTTTTAGCTTTTTTTTACAATTTAGCTAAGATAAATATGTTTGAACTAAACGAAATAGATTTTCCACTAGTGATTAGTCAATTACCATCTTCTTATCACAAATAAATTTTTTAATGAAGAATAAATTACTTTAGATTTAGTACCTTTTGGAAACAGTTTTCTCGACAAATGAAAACAGTTTGTTGTTTTTTTCTTGACAAAAAAAATATGATAAATGGTCCGAGTTCAATTTGATGTTTGTGAAATTAGTTTCTTCAATACATATATCTTAATCTATGATATGAAAAAATTACGCAAGCGTAGGAAGAAGATAAATGAAGAAACAGAAACCAATTCGTGTGGGAATGATTGATGAAACACCTTCGGTAGCATTAATAATTTATTCTATTTTACTAATGGTATTTTATTTTGTATTAACTTCTTTGTTTCTGTATAACAGTGGTATATGTTAGTGTGGATAACATATGCTTCCCAGCTGCATACATTTGAGCCGCGTCATGACAAAACAAACGTAATGCGTTTGCGACCAGCATGGATCCAGACCAGCCTGCGCATCCGCGCAGTCTGATCAGGATCCATGCTGTTCGCTTACAAACCCTATAACAAGTAGAGAAACTGATAGCGAACAGCATGGATCCTGATCAGACTGCGCGGATGCGCAGGCTGGTCTGGATCCATGCTGGTCGCAAACCCATTATGTTGGTTTTGTCATGACGCGGCTCATATATCTGCAATTACGTAATACAGTTTTATATTGGAACTGTGACATAAATTTTCTAATACCTCAATGTTTATTTGATAACTTTCCTGTACCAATAAGATAGGATAATGTGAAGACAATAAAGTGCAGATCTTGCTGTTTTCCATAATTTAAAATAAAAAAATGAAAGGCTTTTGAAAATTTTTCAAGAAAGTTAATATTATGATCATGCTATGGAATTATATGGGAAAATGGGAGAATAAAAAAACAATGGGAATAATATTGGTTTGTTAAGTTGGTTCAGACATGTTTGAATGGTTGCCCCTTTAAATATCTTAAATGAACTTGCCTTTCCAAGACTTTTTATCGATTTAAAGGGAAAATTTCAAAAATACAGTAAAATCACTCTATTAAGACCATCAACGGGACCAGATTTAAAGTGGTCTTAATTCTAAAGTGGTCTTAAGTAGGGTTTCTACTGTATGTATTGATTGAATTGCAAGCAGTGCAGATCACAATCAGACAAAACTGATGTGCTTGGTGATATTCCTCGGCACAAGTTCCACGAGTCAAATCTTTAACTGGTACGCAGGCAAATGTATTCAGTCCAATTTTATTCTTTTCAGTGTAGTATTTTCTTTAGAAGGACTAAAGTTTTAACTGGACTGGAAATAATTTTTTTACACCCGTTTGATAAACGGGTCTTTTACAGTTTCCCTCCTGGCGGGCAGCTGGGCAGGTCCAATATTTGTCCGGAGCATTATCTCCTTCACCAATGAAGGAATTTTAATGAAACTTCATAGAAATGTTCACCACTATG